TCTTTGAAGACCCTCTTCAAAAAGAACTCAAAAAAACTTCTTGGACGTCACTGAGTCTAACAACCAGCAACATGTGTCTTCATGTCCTTTCTTTTCTTCTACTTCCTCCTCACCTGGCGCTCTCAGTCATCTGGCACTCAGTGCGTTTGAGGCGCTTAGTCCGTTTCGCGGTGAAGGCGTTGAAGGTGTCCGGGCAGTTGCCTGGACCTGAGAAGTTGCGGTTTGGACTCAGAGTATCTGACTGACTTGGGGCCTGACCGGTTGTTGGACCGGATGTCGGAAGTGAGCAGGGTTTTGAAGGGGTCCAGTGACACAGGAGCTGAGCGCTGTTGCAGCGCTGTTGATTGGTGGAATGCAGGCTTGTGCCGGATAATTCAAAGATGTTCAATGGCCTGCTCATGTTGGTAGGGTTGCTCAGGGGTCGTCTGTTGAAAACACGGGCTGCAGTCAGGATTGTTGCATAATTCTTTCAGTCGCTTTGGTTGGAGCATGTTGGAACAGCGATTTGGTCTCAACATTTGTCGCGGATTCTGAAGATCAGATACTTAATGATTCAAGATACGATGCCTGGGCAGCTGCACGACTATCAATACTTGGACAGGACACCATCGCCAGTACCATCGCCTTTGCTGTTTGTGAACCTGAGCGACCCGAGCCAAAGAGACCTGCCCCTTAAGACGGGGTGCTTGCCCTTTTGCCGCTCGCCACCCGAGCATTCCACGTCCCGAGCAGAGCCCTGGAATTGGACATTTTCTTGGAATTGGACCTTTTTCAGAACCCACTAATAGTCCAAATTATCTAGTCAGATTTCACACATGTCGATCCACCTGTCAGCCAAGTTTTTGAAACACGCACTCCTCCACCTTAGCAAAACCTAAGTTCCCAGACAGTCACCAGAATCCCTGATATGTGTGTTTTTTTGGTAAAACCAGGTGTATATGGGATGTACAATCATTGGGATGCCTATGTAAACCCAGTAAACCAACGATGTAAACCCTTCCCAACATCCCAATGTAAACCCAGTGAACCAACAACAGCACCAGGTTTCTGCTGAGCTGTTGGGGTGGCAATGGTCCGTTGCGGCCGCTCCTCTCCTTGCCGGAGCTTTGCTTGGAAGTCCCGGCCTCATGGACTCACCGAGTGTCGGTGACGGATGGTGTCGATCCTGTTCCTTTTTCTTTGTTTCTAGTAGAGATGGCCTCTAAGACAACCTAATTACGATCGTGATGGCCATCGCTATAGCGAAGGCCTCCATGGTGCCGGTCCAGTTGTTCGCGGAATGAACAAACACACCGAGCCTTTCGTTTCAGACCGATTTTCCATGAAAAGATGGCATGGTTTGGATATGTTTGCATGACCTTCATGCATCGCATCTACGTTCACTGTTTTGGTGTATCGTGTTTGCTTTGTTCTGGGTTCTATCATGTGCCATCTATGATATCATGATAGTTCCTGATGCATCCATGTCTACAGGACATTCGGGGAAGATACTTTTCGATCGGGTGATTACCATGCATGCTATTGACACTTGTAGTACAACATAGTACAAGAGGAAATATTCCTTGTGAGTATTTTTTGGGGAAGAAGATACGACATGTACTCTGATAGTTCTGTATCTCCACTGGACATGCACTTTTGGATCATTTCACAAGGGACCCACGGCCCGAGCCTCGCCGAACGTGCCGTGCGACCCCGAAGCCCCGGACGCGGCACGTTGGTCGTTTGGACCTGGGGAGTGGCGTTGGAAGAGGGAGATTGGCGAACTCTGGCTGGGTAGACTGGTTTGATTTTTTCCTTTTCCTCCTTCCAGGCAGGGTCATTACCTGGAAGGTCTCCACACGTCTCCATCATTTTCAATCAAAAGACCCTTCTCATTTTGCACGCTGAGGTCTGCCTTTGGCCCCCCCCAGGCGCCAATCGGAATCCAACGCGGTTTCTCCGCGCTGGTGGGTCATATGAGGTCAGAGGTCCGCGGAGGTCCGCGGCCACGGGTCGCTTTTGGCTTGAGAAAGCTCCAAAAAGGGCGGATGTGGTCTTTGGAAGTACTGGCTGCTTATAGGGCTTGATTTGGGATCAGCATGATCACATGGAGACTTTAGTCTTGCTTACATGAGGTAAAGAGGCCTGTTCCTGTTTTTTAGTAGGCTGGATTGTGTGGCCTACGAGCCCCACGAGTTTGGGTTGGTAGTAAGAATGCGACACCTTCAAGAACAATGAAATTGCTTTCCAATTCTTTGTGTAACATGTGCCTTACTAGTAGTAACAATGTTTGCTAGTAGAAACAAGTGCCACGCTACTAGTAACAAGTGCCACGCTAGTAGGAACAAGTGCCACGCTACTAGAAACAAGTGCCACGCTAGTAGGAACAAGTGCCA